CTCCCTCCCCTCCTGATGTTCTACCCGAGTCTGGATGAATCCGTGGTAAGAATGAGTTGTGCCGCCGCCTAAACAGTACATGGGAACAGGAATCATCCCAATCACCTAAAATAGGTGGCCTTGGGGCACGTTTCAGGTAGGATAAACATTCCCGTTTATAAAACTAAGATGCATATTTAAGGTTAATCCATACCCTAACCTAAACTTAGACCTCGCCTCAATCCTAAACCAAATTGCCCCGGAATTAGGCGCAAAGTCACATATGCTTTCCGTTTCTGTAACCTGCTTAGACAGCCATACAAGTCATCATTATCAAAAAAACCTCTGCCTGAATGTACGCGGGACTGAAATGTTGAAAGTACCGCATCTACCGATCGGTTACTAGTCTCTATGCGACTGCCTGCAGGGATCTGGATCGCGCACCAAAGCACAACGGGACTGGTGAGCGGATCCTGTAACCCGATCTCTGAACGCGCTTTAGATTGAGCCCCAAAAGACAATGGGACGAACAACAGCAACAACGGGCGCACTTACGCATAGGCTTCGCCAACTCTCCCCTCCTCCTACGGATGGGACGTAAAGGCCCACTACCATTACAGGTCACATCCATGTGCATTGATTCATTCCCATGGAGCGGAATATATTGGCCGAATAACGAGGCCTCAGGCGAAGATGGTAATCGAACACACACCGACCTGGCCACGCAAGGCGGAAAATCGATCGATTTCAAGTTCAATTTTCGCACAAGTTTACGCAAGAGCGAGGTTTTTTCAGGTCATATACGAGATAGCAACACACTATACTAAACGCCTATGCCCGCGGATGCTAGCCACAGTCGAAGCAATGGCGATTCGTTTAGCAAAGCTGGCTCTGTGGTCAAAAGAGACGACTTTCATGTCCATTTAAAGGCCTGATGATGAGTGATCGAGAATACCTGTTGACCAAAGGTATTTTTCAATCATAACATTGGGATTTTCGCAGAACTGAGATAGGTAATATTGCCAACCGCTAGAGACAGGACAATGGGCTCGTGGCTCAGTGGTTACGAGGTTAGGTTTACTAATGCTTAATAATCAGCAGATTGGCCGGTATGCATAATTCAGGTGACCTAATGGTGAAAAACTTGCGGCCTCAGGGGGAATCGAACCCACACAGCAGGCAAGGCTTTTGCACAGCCAAATTCAGAGCACAGATTAAATTCACGGCTCATGGTGAGCCTCGTAAATCAACGGTAGAGCGCTGACTACGCAAAAGCCTTCCCTGCTGTGTGGATTCGACTCCCACGGAGGCCGCGAGTCTTTCACAATTGGATCAACTGAATAATGCTTAATAACTTAATCAACAGGGGGCTGGAAATTAAAATACTCCAAACCTGTGGTTGGCTAAGTCTAGCAGTCTCCAACCGCTTATGCTATAACATTGCTTTCACAGGGAAAAATGGTTGAAATATGAAAAAAATGGGGGGTCAGCCACTATGGGCGCGCTGCACGCCTTTCAAGCATTAGGAAGTGAAGAGGCACTACTCACCTGAACGAAGACGAAATTGCGTTTGATCAGGTCGGCCACCCGATAGTCCTTCCAGACGTCGCGGTTCAAGATGTGGCAGTCGAAGCAGGCCTCCTCGT